ACTTTAAAAAAAAAAAAAAAGAATTAGTCTGTGGTATTCTGTTATAACAACATGAAATGGACTAAGATAGAGTCATTAACGAAACTTAAAAGCATAAAACTGCTGGTAACAAGTATAAGTGAGAGAAGGGACAGAGCTATGGACAGTTAATTGTTGGACATGTGTGTTGACAAGACAGGCAATGAAAGAAGATCCAGGGAAGAAGAAAGAAGAAAAATGTTCAGAAATCTAAGAAAAAAACCAGAAAAATACCAATATCATAGAAACAAACAATGGAAAGTTTTTAATTAACAAAGGACTTAGCCATGTTCAATGTTTCAATAAATTCCAAGAGAATATGAAGAGTCATTGGAATTAATGGCAAATTGTTGATTTTTAAGAAAGCTGTTTTTAAAGAAGAATTTAGTCATTTTAATGGGTTCATGAGTATGTTGGGGAGTGATACAGAACAAAGGGCCCTTCCTGGGAATCAGAAGGCCTGAGGTCCAGCTTGACTGTGCAGTAGAGTAGCCATATGACCTCTTTTCAAATTATTCTGGAGCTCTTTTTCTTTGGGGAGGAAATCTTTCTTTAAAAAAGTTTTTAACTGACACGTAATAATTGTACATATTTATAGGACACAGTGATACTTCAACGCACATATACAATGTATAATGATGAAATCAAGGTAATTAGTATATCCATTACCTAAAACATTTCCTGGTACTGGGAATTCACAATCTTTTAGCTATTTAAAAATATACAATAAATTATTGTTAACTGTTGTCACTAGACAATATTGTACTGCTTGAAATCAGAGGATGCCGCCAAAAGCCTTTAGGGTTTGCTGAAATCATATGAGTAATATTAATACCCATTTCCCTCAAATATCCAGCCACAAGTGATCATATACTTATACAGGGGAAGTCTCTGAAAACTCAGTATCTCATATCACATGCTCCCAAAATTAAGCCAGAAATATGCTTTTCAATAAGAACCCAGATGCACTGAAGAAAGAACATTTGCTTTATCAGGGAGGGGGGCACTTATTTCTATTTTGTTCTCATAGCAGTAAAAACTCAGAATCACTTAAATGTTAAATATTATAAATCTTTAGTTGGGTCCGGGCACACAGTCTAGTGATATACTCTAAATGGTGGTGTAAAATAGTTCACTTTGACTGAATCTTCTGAGTACAGTTCAAAGTGAACTGCTTTATCTTGGGGGGTGGGGAGGAATATAGAAATGTGAGATATCAGTAAGTTTTCCTGAACTTCTTACCCCTTGTCAAGGAGGTTAGCCTGTTCTTTCTCAAATATTCTTGCCTTATTTAATCCTAAATGACATGTATCAAATAAAGGCACAACTTAAACTTCGTTTTAAAAAGGTTGTATATAATTCACCTCTAAGTTCAGTGGGGAAAAAAGTGAAGAAAAAGACAGCTAGCATCTATTGTGCACCAGCTATATGCCAAACATTTTCACATACGTTACCTCACTCAAGCCTGACAACAATATTATGTAGTAAATTTAGCTTTGATTTTAGATATAAGAAAACTGAGGCTTAGAGAGGTTAAGCCACTCTCTCAAGGCCAAATTGCAAGTTATAAAACTGAGACTGAAATGAGAACTGACTCCAAAGCTCACGCTCTTTCCATTCTACCATACAGTTCAATCTAGTGGAAAATCCACTCTTGAAAGCGTCTTAGCATTTTACATATAACAGGGTATTAGCCAGGATCTGCTGGAGCCTCTAAATTCTGTTTTATCTGCACTGAACCTCACACACACCCCCTGCTGTTATTTCCCCTTCCGATTGAAATTCAGCACCGAGGACAGTTCCTGAGTCATGTTTGCAGGAAGCTGTCCTTGGATTCTGTTACTGAGCTAACACTCCCATTCTGCACTTCCCAAGTGGCACTGAGAAAGAGAGGAGGAAATGTAAGAAAGTATAAGATGGGATCCTCTGACACCATGGTGGAAATTAGCACATTTCCCAGAAGACCAAGATAAAAATGCATGTGAGAAGAACAAGGGAACCAAACAGATGGGGCAATAAAATGGAGGCGGAATGAGCTCATCAGGATTCCCAGCACACAGTTTAAGTCCATACTGGGCTCTCAGCTGACCTGGGACCAGCAGACATAGTGAATGAGTGGGTGGTTACTATGCAGCAGCATCGGCTACACTAAAAGCTTAGGTGGAGCTGATTCACTGCTGCTGCAGATCTGCACGACTTTTCAAGTGGAGGAAAAATCTGTGGGCCCTGGTCTCTGCCACTCACATAAGTGTCCTCATGAGTCATATATGCAGGATCGTTCAGGTAGACAAGGTTGTTGGGCTGTGAGTAAATAGAGGATTTCTTGTTGTTGAGAGCAGGTTTTAATCACAGCTACAAGCATCTCCTTGTGTGAAGGTTCACCTGCTGTATCACGTAACCACCCTGCCTTCCCACACTCACCCTTGACTACAGGTGGTTCATAACGCACAGAGCAAAAATTAGGTTCTAAAACGATCCTCACTTTGAACAATTATTCCTTCTTTTCCAAACTGCCAAGCTCTTGAGTATAGTCAGAAGTGCTTTGGAAGAGTCTAGTCTAACCCCCTTATCTTATAGGCAAGGAAACTAAAGTCTAGAGAGGAGAAATGACTGGCCTAGTCAGAGACCTAGTGACAGAGTTGGTGCTAGGACTCAGACCTCGTTACTAAGACAACAGACTTTTCACTGTGTCAGGAAGATAAAATAAAACCCCAAATACCACATACTCTGTTTACTAAGACCTCTGATTATACTGCCTCCCAAGAAAATAACATCTCAATGCCTGAGTCGTTCTATCTGAACTTTGGTATTTTTTCTAATTATCTCTCATGTTGGAATCTCTTTTAAGAAATTTAAAAGTAATTATTTGTCTATTTTTATTCCTGTAAATCACTTTCCTTGTTCAGGAGGAAATTTGAATTCTGGAAATACACCTGAAATACACTTTTGTTTAATTATTAAAGGAACAAGCTCTGTTTCAAATAGCTGCAAGTATCAATGTATCAGTCTGTGTCAAGAAAGGATGTATGGAACAATATAGGAACAATAATACTCTATTGTTTCATCCAATTAAGATCTACCTAGGTCAAACCTATGAGTGAAAATTGAAAAGTCACATCCTTATCCTAATAATCTCCAACTGTCTGGATTTGGTGCCTATGAGTCATCTAAAATGCAACATTGTATAAAGTACTTAGCAACATTGTTGCCTTCATTATTGCAATTTGTGTATAGGTATGCTTACTACCACTTTTAGGGTTTTCCAGGAGCTGAAAAATGATGTATGAAGAGTTAGTCTATTCAAGGACATATTTACAAGGTGGAACTGATAGCTCCTGTTGATGCAGACTAACAGAAGTTATGTTACTCACCCCCCATTTCCCACCCCACAGCTTTTCTACTAATGAATATTCTTACCTGAACCATCATTACTTCCATTGTTCTCTGCTTTGGGTACCACGTAGACCAGGTTTTTTATTTCTTATTTTTATCCATGAAGTGATTCACATGAATAAAACTTTTCTGTGATTTAGCAACACTGTCCTTGAAAACCCCACGACTATTTACATAACAGAAGCTATTGTTTGAAGTGTAAAGCAGGTCAGAATTTGGTTTCTAGAGATTAATCACTGCAGTCTATTTTATATTATCATAATAATTTCATTTATTTTGATACAATTTGTTTTCAGAACCAAACTCAGCTTCTGTGCACAAATGACAAATCCATTTGTTTCTAGTATAATGGATAATATGATTAATGACCTTGCAACAGGATTTCTTAAAAACAGAGAGAGGAAAAAAATAAAGATCTCCATTAATAATGTGCAGTAAACCACTTCAGTCTGTAGCTATGCATCAAAATCACTCTGGACTTGTGTGTAAGCCACAGACAGACAAGATTTTGAAACAAATTCGCTCCTTCATTTTGAGGTTTCTATACATATTTGTTCTGTCTCCAAGAATCTGAGACCAGAGATCTCAAATTGGGAAAATGGACATTGTGGCCCTTGTTTACGGGAGGGGACACTGTTTTACTACGTAGCAGCAGAGATCACTCCAGGCGAATGAACTTCATCAAGCTCAGGTCTTGCTGAATAAGGTCACAGATGGAGGGCTGTCACTGGACACACGTGAGAGCTCTGCGTGTGGCTTCGTGACTACGGCCCCAGTAGGCATCCAGCGCCCGTCCCGGTCCCGGTCCCAGCAGCCAGAATTCCCTCTGAGCGTCCTCGGGAGCGGCGCGGGCGGGAGCAGGAACCCTCCGGAGGCGGCCGTCGTGCGGCTCCTTCCCGCTTCTAGAGGGAGGAGGCGGGGCCCTGACGGAGAGGCCCACGCCTGCCGCGGGGGTGGCTCGCGAAGGCGGCCCGGGATCGACTCCCGCCGGGGCTCCTCTTTGTGGAGCGGGTCTGACACCCGCTCAGAGCGACGGGGACGCACAGCGAGGCCCAGCGCCGCGCCGGAAGCCCGCAGCCTCCGGGGGGCGCCGGAGCATTGGGGGTTCATGGATTCTTTTCAGCCCGGGACGCCCGCGTCCTCGGCGGGCTCGAGGGACGCATGGACACGGCAGACCCAGGCTTCCGAGGGCTCCTCGGGTCCTTTGGGACCTCAATCCTCCCTCCCAGGGGGCCCCGGAACCTGGCACTTGCGTCCTAAGCTCCAGCCCACGCGCCAGCCAGGCTGCCCAGCGCACGGTGAGAAGCGCCCCCGCCCCGCCCTCCGCATGACGCGCACCCGGCCAGGCCAATCAGAGATCGCGGCGGGCGCCCCACTCGCCGCCCCCCCCATCAAACCCTAGCTTAAGACAGGGAGCGCGAGCCTGGCCAGAACGCCGCGCGGTGCGGAGGGTGCGGCTACGCGACGACAGTTGGCGCCGGCTCAGCGCTCCACGAGACCGGCCGCTGCCAGTTACCAAGGCGCCATCCGGCGCTCGCCCCGACGGCGGCCCTGGCCGCGGATGCTGAAGTGAACGCGGCGGCACCGGGATGCTGGCGCTGCTGGCCGCCGGCTTGGCGCTCGCCGTAGTTGCCGGGGCCCAGGACAGCCCGGTGCCCAGCAGCCACTTAGTGTGCACCGCTCTGCCCCCGGAGGCAGTTCGCACTGGCTGCCCGCTGCCCGCGATGCCCATGCAGGGCGGCGCGGTGAGCCCCGAGGAGGAGCTGCGGGCCGCGGTGCTGCAGCTGCGGGAGACCGTCGTGCAGCAGAAGGAGACTCTAGGCTCGCAGCGCGAGGCCATCCGCGAACTCACGGGCAAGCTGGCTCACTGCGAGGGGCTAGCTAGCGGCAAGGCGCGGGGCTCGGGGGCCACGGGCAAGAACACTATGGGCGACCTGCCGCGGCACTCCGGCCACGTCGTGGACCAGCTTAGCCGTTCGCTGCAGACTCTTAAGGACCGCCTGGAGAGCCTCGAGGTAGCGGCGCGAGGGGGCAGCACGGCGGGAACTGAAGGAGAGAACGCAGGGGTCGGGTGACTGGGGGCTGGGGTGGGTCTCGTTTGTCCCGTGGGCAAGCTGGGCTTGCGGTTAAAAGGAGGAGTCTCGATCCTGCTCGAGAACTTCCCCGTATCACATACCCCTTTCACCCCCTTGTTATAAGAAAAGGTTTAAATACCACTCCTCCCCACCTCCCTCGCTCGAGGACTGCCCCTGAGCTCGCTGTGCATTTCCCGAGATTGCGGCCGGCGAACTCAGACGGCCTAGCCGGGCGCAAAATACCTGGGACCAGGCGGCCTCTTTCCTCCTCTTGCAAATCTTCAAATCTCCCCGAGCAGGGAACCGCTCCAGCCGGCGGTGCAGGGTGCTGAGAGGCCGCCGCGGGAGGTCAGCTGCCCTGGGCATCTGCTGTTTCCTTTTATAAACTGGGTCGGGTTAGACCTTAGGGGATGGAGGCCTGGGGCGTGGTGGGCGGGAGGCGAGCGCTGCCAGATCACTGGCGACCCTAGAACTCACATTAGCGGAAATCTCATGTTAACTTCAAAGATGCCTCTGTCTGCAAGTTGGACTATTTTAAGGTGCCCTTCCAGATTGCTTTGCGGGGAGGGGACCTTATTCTGTTCTCTCTGGGAAGATGTGTGCAGTTTGGAACTTTGAGAAGGAAATCTTCAATTGATTTTCATCTTTACTCTTTTTAAGAAGTGTGGACATTTCTGTTAATAGCGTTAATGAAAATACTTATTAGCAAAACTAGGTTTAAATTACAGGTGGTAATTATTGCAAAATGATTTGAGGGCTTTATTTGGCACAATGGCTAAATACAGTATTTGCAGCATCTGTATATTCCAGATTCATTATGATTGTTAACAGCTAACATTTCTGAGTACTAAATATGTCAGGCGTATTATTTAATATTTTAACCTTTGCAACAATGAAGGGCATGAGGCAGGTCCACTTTGAAGGGAAGGGTGAATAGCTTGCAAGGACTGATGGCTGGGCAGCTGCAGGCTGCCTCTAGAGCTGCGTGATGGTAGGAAGTGAGGCTTCAGAAACAGCATTAAAACTAGATTTCCAGAATTGCAAATAATGTTTTATATCTGTCGTTTTCCAGTAATATCTCTACAAACATAGCTATTTGCTTACCTTTGTGCCATCCGGGAACTTGGGGGCTGTATACATTTCTACAAGATAGCTCATCAGCTTTGTGTCCTAGCTGTGATTTGGTCTTTACCCAACATAGAATTCTAGATGTTGGTTAAGATTTTGACTTTTTTTTTTTTTAGTAAGAGGAGAAAAAACAGCTTTTTGAGAAGGGAAAATGAGATTCACAAGTTTCAAATATTGCAGCAAAGTAATTCTTGTCTGACTTTGAAATCCTTTCCCGTACACTCACACACAGCATCAGTGAAAGGCTCACCTCCCTCCTTGTGCAGCTGGCACAATTCAGTGCTTGCCTTTGGGAAGCTTCTCCCTGTGGGTCAGTCATGCGGCCAGTGGTGGGTTGGTAGGGTGTGGCCAGGAACCTTGGGGGCTACATTTCAGTTTCTTTTCAACTCCCTCTGTGTCTCCCCTTCTGAATTAAAGCACCAGCTCCACGGGAACTTGTCAAATGCAGGGCTGCCAAGTGATTTCCGGGAGGTGCTTCAGCGGCGGCTTGGGGAGCTGGAGAGGCAGCTGCTGCGCAAGGTGGCAGAGCTGGAGGATGAGAAGTCCCTGCTCCACAACGAGACCTCTGCTTACCGGCAGAAGACTGAGAGCACCCTGAATGCGCTGCTGCAGAGGGTGACGGAGCTGGAGCGTGGTGCGTGCTTGCTTGTTTCTGTCTGGGAGTGGTCTGATTTTCACTCCTTGCCACCAGACCCATGATTTCTGTGTGTGGACAGCAGTGAGTATGTTATAGCTTGGGATAACTCATGGATATTTGAGTGAATACTAAAGGTCACTGACAATGGTCATCTTAGGAATTAGCCCCCAACCCTACCGGCATTATCCATGGAAAAGCAAATGAACTCAGGACCAGCTTTTATAAACAACTTGATGTCTGACCTCCTGCCACCTGCCCACTCCAGTCCCTTCTTAACTAGTCTTTGCAGTAGATTCTGTGTATCTTTCTCTACTCTGCTCAGGCTATAGCGGGTAAGTTTCTCCCACAGAAGACGGAGAGAAGGCCGGTTATCAAGGGCCCTAGATAATTCCAATTGCATTATCAACCCCTGACTGCAAGGTGGCTTGTCTGTGAAGCTTTATGTTTGCTGGCAGTGGGTATAGGATTATAATTTTGTCAGGTGTGCTAACCTGACAAAGGTAGTTTCTAATTACTCAGTTTCATGAATCGATAGGAAAATGTCCAATAGCGGAATGCGAATGACATTTTTAGTGACCGTGGCTGAGGAGGGCCAGATGGAGAAGGGGATGGTGTTACTGTCCCATCTTTGTGTCCCAGTAGACACACATCACATATCCCCTTCATCTCTTTCCTGTTCTCTTCTTGGCTTACTCTAAGATCAGCTGTCATCATGGCATTGGCCACTTAGAGGCTGCCACTTTGTGAATTTTCCTCCCATTCCTGGCCTATTGATTTATAGCTGAAAGGGTCAGGAAGGACTTGGGCCCCACCAGCCTAACTCTGACACGCTTGCTCTTGATCCTTAGGCTTCACTGAAAGCACTCGGGGCTTGTCAGGCACAGAGGGGAGGCTCAGCCCTATAAGAGCAAAGGCCTGGCTAGCCACTGTGTAGAGTGTCAGAACCTGGACAGAGGCAGTTCAGCTTCTGCTGTCTGTTATGGGTCTGACCCCTCTCTAGGAACTCTGGAGTCCTTATGTCTGTTCCACCAGCTCAGCTCTGGGATGAGTGAGTCTTTGAGGAAAGTGGCCATTTGCTGACTGATTTGTCTTTTGGGAAATTCTAAATTTATATCTGTCCTGTTTGTGACAATTGTAAAAAAATATAAAAATGCCCAGGCCCTAAATATAGGAAAATACACCACATTCCTTAGACATATCCTGCCAAGCCCAGAGTAGAGAGACCTCAACCACATGGCAGGCAGGGAGGTTGGCGGGCCCCTGGTCTTTAGTCCATCATCCCCTGCCTGTTGTGGGCCAGATGCTTGCTGGTAAGTTCCACACTCTGTATGTTCTATAACCCCTGCCAGTCATCCCTGTGTGGTAGATACTAATTCAGATAAGAGACTAAAGTCAAAGAGCTAAGTGACACCTGTGTTCATGTGGCCCACAGATTACAGAGCTAGGGTGGAATTTCATGGTGACCCCAGATGAGTGACGGAGACTACAGCCTGGGGCCCAGCAGCCAGGTGCCTGAGCCCTGCATGTGGACATGCGAGCCACCCAGGCTTCAGGATGTTCATTTTTCTTTGTTACAAGACCTGATCATCTGTAAGGACCTCCAGAGTCCAGGCCAGCTGGCCAGGCACAGCCTGGCTTGGGATCAAAATAAATGTTGGCACTGAAAAGACCAAAGCAGCTTCTCTCCCAGCCCTAGGCTGCCCACCCCCTGCTCTGCCTTGTCTACCACCTGAAGTCTCTGATTTATTGGTCAGGCCTTGCAATTTCATAATTGGTTTTAATTAAGTTTCTTCTGAATCTCCAAGCTATTTTATTTAAATAAAGGGCATCAGCTTTCAGGATACAGGCCCCTTCCTCTGCCCTTCAGCTTTCTCTGATCTAATTAAACCTATCTGTTGTCACTGAGCTAACAACATTACCAGCACTGGGTTTTGTGAAATTGGCAAGCCTGCCCACCTGCAAGCACAGTAGCCATTTCTCCTTATTAGACAGTGACACCTCAATTAAGAACATGGTCATTTGCCACTTGAAAATTAAGTGCTAGCAGCTACATGTAACAGAAAGAAGGACTTCCAGCCCCTGCCCTGTCATTCACTAGCTGTGTGACATTGAGTAAGTCACCTCATCTCTCTAGGCTACCATGTCTCAGCTGTGTAACCTGAGAACTTGGGGGATGAGACCTGTCTGGTTCCTTCTCAGTTTTGTTTCAGCCTAAAGAGGGGCCAGTCCCAGCTTTTACTCTGACCGGGGCCCTTGGCTTACCAAGGTGACCAGTTCTTTCAGGTTTCACCTGGTGTTCAGCATCTCTGCAGCCTGTGGCAAGAGTTACTCTGCTTTAGGGCTTCAGGAAGAATCAGGTAAGACTATGCAATCAGCAGATACAAGTGCATACTACAGGTGAAGCCCAGATTCTAGCACTATGCGCTGCCCATTCCAGAGAGGCTGGAGATGTGATTCTGGGCCCTGCTGTGCTCCCCGCAAAAGTTCTCTTTAGATAGATATGAACTAGAACACCAAGAGCTTCTTGTTTATATTATTCACTCTGTTGGAAAATGGGTTTGGGAGATTTTAGTGGAGAAAGATTTGTCTGTTCTGGCTCTTATTCTGCAGAAGGGCTGAGAAAGGGACTGATTTAATTCCACAGTGGTACAGGTAGGTCAGCTCTGTCAACTCTGGAGACCCTACCTGCCTCTGCCAGCCACTGAGACTGGCTCTTATGGGTTCTAAATGCAGTAGAACCTTTTTAAGTTGACCACCCAAGACAAGAGGCTGTAACAAACTGGTCAACATACAGAGGTGGTCAACATAAGGAACTAGGCCTACTGTACTGATTCATACATGTGGTACATGTCTGGCCTATGAAAATCAGGTCAACTTAAGGAGAGGGCAGTGTAGGGAGGTAGTCAACTATGGAGGTTCTACTGTACTCTTACTTGTCAAATTTTGGAATCTGTGATACCTGGACAGTGGCCGTTTTTATTAAGTTAATTTTGAGCTTAAATCCAAGACTACTGATAATTACTTAAACCCATCTATGAGTTTGTTTGGGGGGATTTCAGTGCCATTTACATAGGAGCAGCTGAGTGGTGGTGGGGGGCTCTCAGCAATGCCAGAAAGGTCTGGAAAGGCCCAGGCTCAAGCCAAGTGTCTTAGCCTAGGTAGGGAGGCCATCTCTCTGCTTCTCCTGAGTTCTGAGCTACAGGAAATGGTCAATAAACTCAATCTTCTCTGGAGGAGGAAAGAGCAAATAGGAGCAAAGCAGTTGACATCAGGGATTTAGACTGAAAAGCCACTTCTGAGTTAAGCTGTAGCATCAAGACCTGAGCGCCTGCCTTCACCTTGGTGGTGGTAATTCTTTAGTGCGAAAGGTGACATGGACTCACTCCCTTGACAAATGCTTATGGATTGCCCATGTCCCTATGAGACTTTCTTCCTCGACACCTAAGTCCAGGGGTTGCAGACCTGCCCTTTCTAAAGAAGCTGAAGGGGCCCAAATTTCAAGGAAATATTTGTAGTAACAAGACATGGCAGAGAAAGGGTTTTCTTGCTTAATGGAATAAGAAAATTAAATCTACCTCTCCTCTGCCCCTTTTTCAAACTTCCTCGTCCTCAGATGTGACTATGAAAAGAGATAATGTTTATCAGAAGGGACCAGAGCTTTTTTCTCGTGGACTTCAGGAGTCTTCTTTTCCTAGAAGACAGAGCTAGATCCTGTGATATGCCCAGTGCACTGCCCACAAAGTGCTCCTTTCCCCCATTTCCTGGGCCTCTGTGGATCCCTGGCACTTGCTGTTGCCTCTGCATGCAGTTCTTTTCCAGGTTTTTGCAGGCCTTCCCTCCCTCCTCTGCCTTCCCACTCCCAGCACTGCCCAGAAGGGGTCACTGTCCAGCCTTCCCTCTCTCTGCTTCTCCCACCTGGACAGGTGAGGACTCTACCTTTTGTCCTGCTGTATTTTAGCCTTTGGTCAGTGGCTGGCATGGAGCTGGCACTTGGTCACTTGAGGGACTGCCTTTGAGAGGAGTCCAGGTGAGACAAGGCTCTGGGCTGTGCTGTGGGGGGTGGGGTCTGACACACTGCTCTGGCCTCTCTTCCTCCACCCCCCAGGGAATAGCGCCTTTAAATCGCCAGATGCCTTCAAAGTGTCCCTCCCGCTCCGCACAAATTACCTGTATGGCAAAATCAAGAAGACACTGCCCGAGCTGTACGCCTTCACCATCTGCCTGTGGCTGCGGTCTGGCGCCTCGCCTGGCATTGGCACCCCATTCTCATATGCGGTGCCGGGGCAGACCAACGAGATAGTGCTGATTGAGTGGGGCAACAACCCCATCGAGCTGCTCGTCAATGATAAGGTAAGGCCTGCTTGCACCCCATGAGTTCTGACAAATGCAGATAGTCATGAAACTGCCACCACAATGAAAATGTAAATGCTTCATCACCCCCCAGAACCCCCTCACACCTCTTCATGGTCCATACCTGCCCTGGCCTCAGCCTATGGGCACTGCCAATCTATCTTTTGGACCATGGTCTTGCTTGTCCTAAGCAAGTGTGCCTTCTCTGTAGACCTGGGGAGTCCTGGGGACCTCCCACAGCCCTGCTTCAGACTTCTATCCTGACATCAGGCTCAACAGAACAGAAAGAACCCCCTCAAGTCCTCCCAGCTGGGGCATTTGAGTGTCTATCCCAACTCCCTGGCACCCAGACTGGTCTTCACTCTGTCTTCACTGACCTGCCATGGGGGGAGTTTGTTTAAGAAATGCTAGTAGCAGTTATGATTTAATAAAAAATTAAAACAATCAATGTACAAAGTTATGATTTAATAAAAAATTAAAAAAAAAAAGAAATGCTAATAGCAACCACTTCCTTGAATCAGGGGTTAATTGCCTTAATAACACCTGGGGACACAGTAGTGCTAAGAGCCTTGTTTTCCTCCTGTTTGAACACCTGGTAAACATGTAATTCCTGGGAGGATAGCTTCTGGTTGCTAGGAGACCAGCAGTAACCACAGGGTGGTTTGTGGGAGCCTATGGAGAGTACTTATAGGAATGCTGGGGGACCTAGTCAGCTGGGTCCTTTCCCAAGTTCCACATATAGTCTGTATGCTCACTTTCCCCGCACATGGTCACTCACATACACTTGGAGGCTTCCAGGCCACAACACATAGGCCCCTGAGTGCCACTGTGGGGGACTGGGACTTTACCTGGGGAGTAAAGACTCTGGTTTGTTTGCTAAGGAGGTTAGCTCAGTAGAGCCCCAACTTCTTCAGGTTCTTTGGCATGGAGAGGTCAGGGGTAAGCACAGGAGGTTATCTCTCATGTCTGCTTGGTCCTCCTCCAAGCTGGGGACCAAGAGTGTCCAGTAACATCAGGACCACTCTGGGGTCAGGCACTTGTGCTGAGGCTGCCCCTTCCTCTTAAGGGCCTGTGTCGCATGCCAGGCAGCTGGGGTTGGGCTTGTCACTATCAGGGAAGGGAGGAATAGGAGGGGCTCCAGATGGTGGGAGGAGCAGTCGCACAGGACTGTGGGGCATTCTTCCTGCATCCTGCCCTGGGGGACGTGAAAGGGTGGGGCTGGGCAGGCCCTCACCTGCACACTGCTGCCCACAGGTTGCGCAGCTGCCTCTGTTTGTCAGTGATGGCAAGTGGCACCACATTTGTGTCACCTGGACGACACGGGACGGCATGTGGGAAGCTTTCCAGGATGGAGAGAAGCTTGGCACTGGGGATAACCTGGCCCCCTGGCACCCCATCAAGCCAGGGGGGGTGCTGATCCTCGGGCAGGAGCAGGTGGGTACAGGGTGGGTGCTCGCCTTGCCAGGGATGACAGAGGAGGAACACAAAATCAGGTCTGCAGGCCACTTCCTCCCCTGGCAGCCTGGCCCCTACTGGGGCCTGAGGGTGGGTGTGGGTATATGACCTGCATTGGCAGGAACTAGGTGGGTGTGGTGATTTAGACAGATTCCAAAATAAAATCAGACACAGAGGAGTAGGAATCCCCCTGGGGAGGGGGCGGAGGAGGGCATCTCTCAGGTGTCCCTGGGAATCTCTTGGCATGTCTGGCTTCTGTCTGATGTGGTACTAACTCAGGGTGTGCTATAAGGGGCACTTGGGTGAAGGAGTAGGGAGCTCGGCCCACGTGGGAGACAGGAGCAAAGAGTGAGAGCTCAGTGCTGCCCTCGAGAAACTCACCATCTAGGTGAGGGGAAGCCTGAGTTGGCGTCTGGTCTCAGGTAGATCAGCATTGATGGTTCAGTCTGCCTTTGAGAGTTGATGATGGAAATTGAGGGAATAGACATCAAGCACAGTGGGGGCTTCAAGTCTTGTCTGACCCTGGTGCACTGTCCTCCTCACTGTGGCTCCTGGGGACGGGCTAAGAGTCAGGAGACCTAGTTCTTGTCCTGGCTTTATTAGCCTTAGTTTCATGTATAAAAGGGAGTGACTGCAATAACATCATCCCCAGGCCTGACGTGCGCTAGAGCTTCAGAACTTGCAGAAGTTGGTGGTCTGGGTTGGGGGAGTCAGGGCAGTGCTCAGGTCCCCGCATGCCGCACTTGCCAGGAGGATGAGTAGATGTATCTGCTTGTGAACCTGCCCCGATGCAGATTTCTTCTTCTCTTTCCCCAGGACACCGTTGGGGGCAGATTCGATGCCACCCAAGCATTTGTGGGCGAGCTTAGCCAGTTCAACATATGGGATCGCATCCTTCGTGCACAGGAAATTGTCAACCTCGCCAACTGCTCCACGAACATGGCGGGCAACATCATCCCATGGGCAGACAGCAACGTCGACGTGTTCGGGGGGGCTTCCAAGTGGCCTGGGGAGACATGTGAGGAGCGTCTCCTTGACTTGTAGCCAGCTGCTCCTCTGTCTGGGTAGCCAGATAGGGGTGTCCCTGTGGAAGTTCAGGGCCACTGATCCCTACCCCTGCGTTAAACTGTGTGAAACCTCTTACCAGTGTGGGCTCAGGCCCTGAAGCCCACTCCTGGGGAATAATGTCTAAGACTGTGGCAGCATTTGTCACCAGCTTATTTGTTCCTTATGTAGGTTTTGTTGCTTTTGGGGGCAGCACCAGAATCTCCTGGGGGAGAAGCCCCAGACCACAAGTGGGCAAATATCTGACTTCCCGCTGCGGGTGGGATGGGTGACTGACAGTCAGCCCCTCTTCGAAACTCCCCTAAATGCTAGTGTGGCCCCAGCCCCTCCTTCCCTCTGGTATCCTTGGTGTCCCATGTGCACCTTCCATCTGTCCCCTTTAATGGATGTGCAGCTGTCCCACTAAAGTGTCCCCTGTGAGTAGTACATTCATCCCTGCTGGCGACTGAGCACGCAGCAGAGCAGCCACCCTCTCATCTGCACAAGGGCCTTCTCTGTGTGTTCCATTTGTCATGAATCTTTCTGTCTGAGCAACTCCTGAGCTGGCGGAGGCAGCCAGACACATCCCTGCCCCCACAGCAGAGGGGGCATCTGCAGCTCCAGAGAAGGGGGAGGCTACAGAATGGAGGCGGGCTGTGACTGCCTGCCCCCTCCCTGCCCCTGCGGCTGTCTCTCCGACCTGTGCTTTGACTGAGTCATCAGTAGCTCTGGCTTTAAAAGGCCTCTCTTCTCATCTGGTGCCAAAAGTTCAGTTGTGGCTTTTACACCCATTCTGTATAGTTTGGGGGATTTATTTTTTCCCAACAGAAAAGAACAACCATTAGAAGAAAGCTCCCATTTTTCGATGTTTTGCCCCACTGTGAGGAGTGTGCTAGTTTTTAATTCATGTTGATTCCTGTAAGCAATTGACTGTCTTCATCCAGTATTTTCCCCAGAACTTTTTAAGAAAGTGGAGGCCGTTTGATATTTGCTTCATGACTCTAGGTTGCTTAATATGTTAGACAGAGGTAGTAATTTATTTTAAAGGTAAAGTGATGAAGTGGGGAAATTTATAAAGCTAAATATTATATATTTTATTTTTCATACATGTTCAAAGTGCAAATCTGTGGAAATTCCATTTGTAGGACCACATTGACATGCCCATCTTGACATTGTATGCTACGAGAACTCTCCTGATGATGGAATTCTGATTAAAGTGCACTGGAAGATGCTTCAGTGTCTGCTTCACCCTCTGTAGCTAAGGGTGGGAAAGAGGATGGGGGCTTGACCTAGCAGAGGGATGGTGGCTCTGGTTTGCCCTGAGCCTGGCTGCAGCAGGGGTACCTGGACCTATATCTGGTGGGCTTGGGGGAGCTGAGGATGGTTGGAGGAGGGTATGGCCCAGGCTGTACCTTCCCTTCCTCAATGCCAGGCTCTGGCTATGGGTCCCCCCAGTCCATCCCTATCTTCTTAACCAGGGGACCCAACTTAGCTGGAAGACCCAGCTGCCTCCTGGGTGTGTTACTGCGTGTGCAGCACTCTGTCCAGGTGCTCTTTCAGCATCTCCTAATAACCCCTGAAAGAGCTAATCCCAATTCACAGATGAATGAACAGAACAAGCGAAGCTACTCTGGAATCATGTTGCTGGTGAAAGGTAGAGCTGGGCTCAGAGGCAGCCTGTGTCCCTTCTGCCACCTTCAACATGCACTCTGAGGGGCCTCTGCCATTGTGTCATCCCAGAGCCATCTCTGCCTGCCCACCTGGCTCTGGCCAGTCTGTCAATAGTCTCTCCACCTCCACCCATGTTGGGTACCCACTAGCCCCACTTTCCACTTTTATATCTTTACTTTGTCTCTGTAACTGAGAAATATAACTTAGATTGTTCCTTTTCTAAGAAGTAATGTCAATTTCTCTCATAACAGGAGAGCAGAGTCCAATCTTGGGACTAACTGAGGCCGTATGCCAGATGTACTGAGGCTGTGTTGGAAGCTATAACCTCTAAAACCTAGTCTAGCAGGTCACTGCTTTCTGAATTCCATTTTAAATGTTGTGAATTACAAGTTGGCAAGAACTGAATATCATTAGTGTTGTGTAGAACATGAAATTAGGCCAGATATCCCACTTGGGGGCCTTTGGAATTCAAAATGTTGAGCCCAGGTAGAGAGCAGTTTATTTTGAATCCTCTTCAAGATGGAAACACCAGCTACTTAGATTTCCCCCACCCCCAGAGGTGCTGAAGAGCTTCCTCATTTCTTATGCATGCCAGGTGCTTCCTCCCCCAGGAAGGGACATTTTCATCAGGGCTTTAGAATCCCTGCAGAGTCAGCTCTAACTCCTTCCCTGCCATGGGAAGAGCTTTGAGCCCAGAACATGAGACCCAAATGTTCCTTGCTGATCTAACTTGAAGATGAGAGAAGCTATCTCTCCTCATCCACACACTGGTCCACCTGTTGGATGTTTGGCTTTCCTGACATACAAGCACAGCAAGATTCACTTAAGCCAGTGGTTCTCAACCTGTGGGTCACAAAACCTTTGGGGGGTCAAATTTCACAAGGGTCGCCTTAGACCATCCTGCATATCAGATATTTACATTACAATTCATAACAGTAGCAAAATTACAGTTATGAAGTAGCAATGAAAATAGTTTTATGGTTGGGGGTCACCACACCATGAGGAAATGTATTAAATGGCTGTGACATTAGGAAGTTTGAAAACCACTGACTTAGGCAATCCAGAGAGTTCCTTATGCCTTGGACCTCCCATGTGAAGGAGACCCATGGCCTCAGTTTCCCCACTCAAAACCCTTTACCCTTTGCCTAAGGCTAGAAAATGCCTTGATAGTGAACTGAGTTCTCCGAGAAGAGTGAGTTAGAATCTGTCCTGGGTGATGAAATGTTCTGATTGGTTGAGGTTGCCACAGAAACTGTAGCCAAATGATCAATGATTAGTGAATTGAAAAGTGATAAAATGCAGCTAAATCAAAGGCATCCTGGCACCAGGTGTCTGCTGATGAGGGAGGCAAACCAAGGTCCTTCACGGTCTTGGGGAGTATCAGCATCAGCTCTGCTTAGATGAAGGTCTTGAAAAGATGTCTTCCTATTGCACACAGGTATTACCATTCATTTTATCAACAAATACTGTATTTGGAGCACCTGCTATATGTCAACCACAATTCTAAGCACTAGAGCAGGTGTTCTCAAACTACAGCCCATGGGCCCCATGCAGCCTGCCTAGGATATTTATCTGGCCTGTTGGGTGTTTTTGCCACCGCTGCCTGTCCTGCTTAGCAGCCACCTTGTCCTGAGGCCCACGGTCTGGCCCTCCAACAGTCTGAGGGACAGTGAACTGGCCCCCTGTTTAAAAAGTTTGAGGACCCCTGATTTAAAAGAAGATCTTTGTTATCTTGACTACCATTGTAGCTCTAGTGCAGAGGTCCTCAAACTTTTTAAACAGGGGGCCAGTTCACTGTCCCTCACACTGTTGGAGGGCCAGACTACGGGCCCCAGGACAAGTCTGCTGCTAAGCAGGACAGGCAGAGGTGGCAAAAACACCTGGTGGGCCAGATAAATGTCCTCTGCGGGCTGCATGTGGCCTGCAGGCCGTAGTTTGAGGATGCCTGTTTTAAATGGAGATTAATTCCCATGAGGAGTGTAGACAGAAAGTAAATATGGAGGATGCCAAAAAATGTATGCACATTTTAAGAAAGGAAAAAAACTATTAAATTTTTAATACTCAAATCCCTTTTGACTTCTGCAATTACAAGAGGTGCTCAACATAACTTGTATTCATCTTTTGTTATAAGTATATATTGAGTATTACAATTTTAATACAGATTTTTTTTTTAAAAAATATACATTTCTTTGGCAACCTCTGTATAGAAATAAGAATGCTGATGGTATGATAGGACGTAACTGGGGAATGACTTCCTGGGATTACATTTAAGCTGGGACCTGACTGAAGAGAGGAACGGAACCTTGGATGGAACCTCCCAGGGAGAGGAAACAGCTGGTGTGAAGACCCTAAGTAGGTCTGAGCTTGGTAGTCAAGAGAAAAAAAGAGTAGGAAGGGAGGTATGAGAGATGGGGTGGAGAGGTAGCAGGGCCAGATCACAAGGGGTATAAATTCAGAGCTTACTCAACATGAAATGGAAAGTCTGGAAGTTTAAGCAGGGGAGTGTGGTAATTTGATTAAGGACTACGCTTCCTGGTGGATGACCAACAAACCAGACAGGGTTGCAAATGGAAACAAGGAGAGCTACTGTACTAGACCAGGTAAGAGGTTATGAAGGCTTGGACTAGGGAAGCATCAGAGGAGACAGAAAAAAGTGGAAAGATTTAGAATATACTTAGAAATAGACACGGGGACTTGCTGATATTTGGAATTTGGTGAGAAGAATCAACTACAATTCTTTTTTTTTTTTTGAGACAGAGTTTCACTATAATGCCCTTGGTACAGTGCTGTGGCATCACAGCTCACAGAAACCTCAAACTCTTGAGCTTAAGTGATTCTCTTGCCTCAGCCTTCAAAGTAGCTGGGATTATAGGTGCCTGCCACAACACCCAGCTATTTTTTTGGTTGCAGTTGTCATTGTTGTTTCACAGGCCTGGGCCAGGCTAGAACTTGCCAGCTTCAGTGTAGTGCTGGTGCCCTAATCACTGAGCTACAGGCATCAAGACAACTACAATTCTTAAAAACTTAAACTCCAAGTAGGATAAGCTCAGTAAGATTCACACTTAAAAATGTCATAATCAAACCACTGAAAACCAAAGACAGACAATCTTAAAAGCAAGAGAGAAGAGAAATGGGATGTGCAACTCAATAAGAGTTAACACTGAGTTTGCATCAGACTCTAGGTATGCCTGAAGGCAGAGTGATGACACATTCAAAGTGCTGAAAGAAAAAGATTGTCAACCAAGAATCCTACATTTAGCAAAATTATTCAAAAATGAAGACAAAATTAGGACATTTCCAAATAAATAAAAATTGACAGGATTCAACACTAGTAGTCCTGCCCTGCAAGAATACTAAAAGGATTCATTTCAGTCCTTCAGGCTGAAATGAAAGGTCACTAGACAGTAGCTCAAATCTACTTGAAGAAGTAAAGAGCACTATAAAGTAACTACACAGGTGA